TGGGCGTGAGGCTGGTGTCGTCGGGAGGCACCGGCAGAGCCCTGCGGTGGCTCCCAGCCCGGCTGGAGCTCATCCATCAAACCGTGCTCATCCCGGCTTGCAGAGGGGGAGAGCTTATAGCAGAATAAATCGGAGAGGGAGACATGGGAGTCGCAGGCACCTTGCTCTGGACAGCCTCGCAGAAGCCGGCACGTGCTCAAAACAACTTCACCTTCGATGGTTGCTGGTTCTGCCCTGCCGCAGTGGCCGGGCTGTTGCTTTCCCCACCGTATGCCCCCAGCCATAAATACACCCGCCAGCTGTGGTCCTAAATTAGGAAAAACCTGGGCAAACCCTTCACCCACACTCCTCTTCTGCATCTCCCCGCAGCCCCTCGGCAGCTTCCCCGGCTCCTGGGAACGGGGCAGCTCCGTGCCATGCCCAACCTGGCCGGTTGCAGAAGGGTTGAATTTGGGCTCGTTCCGCTGCCCCGAGCCGGGAGTGAACCCCTGGGGCAACGCGAGGTGGGAGGAATGCTTCTTTGATTGCAACCGGAGGTGCGGAGGTGACCTTTGGATGCTTTCAGCCTGGCTTGTATCAAATCTAGAGGATTTCCCCACCTTAGGAGGGAGATGGCGGCGGGTCTCCTGCCTCCCCGGCTCTGTCTGGCCTCTCCCTCCCTCCATCTGCCTGCTCCCTTCCAACCTGCCCATCGCCATCCTGAGCCCTTTGCAGGGCAGACGTGGAGCTGACAGCACCCCAAGGCAGCCTCAAGCCTTGCTTTCAAGGTGGTTTTTTTTGGAGGAAGCATCCGGAGAGGCCGGTGTGGTCACCCATCGGCTCCCTGGCTGAGGCTATCGAAGGGGTTGGCGCTGCCGAAAAGCTGGGCTGTGACACCCAGGGCAGCCTCCGCTCACTTATTTTGACAGGGGTTTTGTATTTTTTGTTTATTTTTTTTTTACTTCTTGTTATTCGTGATGCTCAATGTCCTGTGACATGCACTGCGCTCGGGGCTCCGGGAAAAGCATGGCGCCTGTTATGGGCTCAGCGAGCCCGGCTTGATTTGCCCGGTTGGGACAGACCTGCCTGGGCGTCCTGCACCACCACTGCAACCCCCACGGAGTCCCTTCAGCTTCCCGGGGCTCTGCCTTCTCCATCCTCGCAGCCCTGCCCTTCCTCGGGGAAAAGGAGGAGGAGGAGTGCCCGGAGGAGGCAGCCGGGCGCTTGCGGCAGTGTCTGCGAGGATTCGAGCTCTCCCCGCCGGGTGCGTGGTGATTTCTTGATGTGAATCTGCAGCAGCGTTTGTAGCTACCGGGAACGGTGTCGGGGCTCTGGTGGGATACCCTTCATCCCTGTGGGCTCCCGGCTTTGCTTTTGGGTGCTTTGGAGTGGGTGGGAGGTGGGAGATGGG